TGTGTAGGTTACCTCAACTCAATCATTGCATTGTACTCTCCAGTGCCAGAACTCTCATGCTATTTGCATAAGTATTGGCAAAAGAAAAATGTGAAAATTTACAGCCTTCGTAGCTGGTTATGAAAAGCAGGACTTTTTGTTCCTTAAACCTGGTCATGGATGATTCGTGGAACTACACTAAATTCTGCTCCTTAATAAGCCACTGGTTACGCCAGTAAATCACTAAGTTTTCCCACACTTTTCTAAAATGCAAGTTGAATTTCGTCCAATTTTACAAATGCAGGCTGATTGTGAATTGAAACTGTGACGATGACAGTGCAAACAAAAGTGCAAGTTAATTTATCTTACAACACAGTTAGTTTGCAGATTTGAGGCAACACATGACTTGAAAGTGCACTTTTTTAATGTAATTTCCTTTAAAAATCAGTAAAAGTAAATTGTAGACGTCAAATCAATATCGGCTACAAGATACTCAACTGGAAGAGGACAAATTTCAGTGAGTTAAAAAGGGACCTAGCCAAGGTGGACTGGAAAGAAAGATTGGCAGGTAAAACAACTGAAGAGCAGTGGGAAGTCTACAAGGATGAGATAGCTCGGGGACAGAATGAATACATTCCCACAAAAGGGAAAAGTAGGGCATCCAAACCTCCCTGGATGACGAAGGTAATTGTATCTAGAATGAAGCAGCAAAAGGAGGTGTATGACAAATGTCAAACCCAAGATACAGGAGACAACCAAATAGAATATAGGAAGTGCAGAAAAGGTTTGAAAAAGGAAATAAGAGGGGCAAAAAGATTATACGAAAAAAGTTAGCGGGTAACATTAAAGGGAATTCTAAAATACTTTACAAACATATCAAGAAAAAAAGGTTAGACAAAGGTAGGGTGGGGCCAATTAAGGACCAAGGCAGAAATCTTATTGTGGAGGCAGAGGGTGATGTACTGAATGAGTACTTTGCATCCGTCTTCACAAAAGAAGTGGATGCACCAAATGCCGCAGTATCGGAGGAGAGGGTAGAGGAAATGGATAGGATAAGTATAAACATAGAGGTAGTACTGAAAAGGTTGACTGGGCTGAAGGTAGATAAGTTGCCCGTTCCGGACGGGATGCAGTCAAGGTTACTATGGGAGGCAAGGGTACAAATAGCAGAGGCTTTGGCTACAATTTTTTAATCATCGTTGGACACAGGGTTGGTGCCAGAGGACTGGAGAGTGGCCAATGTGACTCCCCTGTACAAAAAGGGACAGAAGGACAAACCTGGGAACTACAGGCCAGTAAGCCTAACATCAGTAGTGGGGAAACTCCTGGAGACTATAATCCGGGACAGAATAATTCTTCACTTAGAAGAATATGGGTTAATTAGGGACAGCCAACACGGATTTGTTAAAGGCAAATCTTGTCTAACAAATCTAATAGAATTTTTCGATGAGATAATGGAGAGGGTGGATAAGGGTAGTGCAGTTGATGTAGTTTATATGGACTTTCAAAAGGCATTTGACAAAGTGCCACATGAAAGACTTGTAAGAAAGATAGAAGCCCATGGTATCCAGAACTGGCTGGGAGACAGAAAGCAGAGAGTTGTGGTGAACAGCTGCTTTTCTGACTGAAGGGAAGTGCACAGTGGCGTCCCCCAGGGATCGGTATTAGGACCACTGCTCTTCTTAATATGCATAAATGATCTGGACTTGGTATAGCAAGTACCATTTCCAAGTTTGCGGACGACACAAAGTTAGGTAGTGTGGAAAACAGTTAGAAGGATAGTAGCCAACTGCAGGAAGACATAGACAGAATGGTAAAATGGGCAGACACATGGCAGATGAATTTCAATGTGGAGAAATGCGAGGTAATGCATTTTGGTAGAAAGAATGAGGGGAGGCAATATAGGCTGGTAATACAATCTTAAGGGGGGTAAAAGAACAGAGAGACCTGGGGATGCAAGTAAATGAATCCTTGAAGGTGGCAGGACAGGTAGATAAAGCTGTAAAAAGGGCATATGGGATACTAGGCTTTATAAATAGGGGCATAGAGTACAAGAGTCAGGAGGTTATGATTAACTTATATAAAACACTGGTTAGGCCTCAGTTAGAATATTGCGCCCAGTTCTGGGCACCACACTGTAGGAAGGATGTTAAGGCATTGGAAAGAATGCAGAGGAGATTTACGAGGATGGTACCAGGAATGAGGGATGATTATGAGGAAAGGCTGGAGAGGCTGGGATTGTTCTCATTGGAGCAGAGAAGGTTACGAGGAGATATAATAGAGGTCTTCAAAATCATGAGGGGATTTGATAGGTTAGAAAGGGAAAAACTGTTTCCACTGGGGGGTGTGTCGGTGACTCGAGATCACAGATTTAAAATAGTCTCTAAAAGAAGCAGAGGGGAGGTGAGAAGAAATTTTTTCACGCAGCGAGTTGTTCGAATCTGGAACGCATTGCCTGAAAGGGTGGTGGAGGCCGATTCGATAACTACTTTTAAAAATGAAAGTAGTTTTTCGGGTGTTCGGGTATTTGAGGAGGACGGGTTTGTAGGGTTATGGGGAAAGGGCTGAGGTGTGGGATTGACATTACATTGCTCTTTTCAAAGAGCCGACACAAACTCGATGGGCCAAATGGCCTCTTTTTGTGCTGTACGATTCTATGATTCTGTGATTCTATACAAATTGTCTGTGTAGACAAAAGAGAAGAACAGTGCTTGGTTCACCAAGAGGATAATTAACCACTAGAACAGGTTGCTAAGAAGGGTGGTTGCAGGTAGTTTCATGTAAAACACAGCTTGATGCTGTGTTGGGAGGGTGAGAAGGTGGATATTCTGGAAAGATGAGATCAAATGATTTGAAGGGTCACGTCCTCTCATAATCTGTGAATTTGTTAAAAGGATATATTTTTCTACAAACAAGCACATTTTGGTACGAATTGATTTTAAAAATGACTAAAAGCTTAATAAAATAGCAAAGGATCATAACATTTGAAAAGGTTATGAATCCATGGCAAAAAATATAAGATTTTGACTGGAGCTTTCTATTTAAATTATTCAGATTTACCAGAATGACATATGTTATTCATTAGTATTACACTTGGAATGCATATAGTTGCATGAACCTTTCTTCACTAATTTAGTAATTAAATTGTTTATAAGGATGGTTGCTATGACTGCGACAGTATCAACATTGCATATTAGAGATGGCATGACATGAAAAAATGGGATTGAAAAATGTGGAATTTCATAACAGATGTTTTAATCATCAGTGATAATGACTACCATATCACATTAAGTCCATTATGAAATGCCACATCTTCACCTACAAAACAACAATTTGCATTTATATAACACCCTTCACACCAGAAGCATCTCGGAATGCATGGTTTGATGCTGAGCTGGAAAGAGAGGAAGTGACTGAAGGCACAGTTGAAGCAATAAGTCTTCAGGTGTGATTTGAACACTTGGAAAGAAGGGGTAACATGGAAAGATTTGGGCGGGATAATGTACTTTACAGTAAATCCTGTGAATTGAAAGGTACTACATCAAATGAAATGTTTTTTAGGATGATTATTATTTTTTCTCACCCACTGATAACTGTGACAGCTAAAGCCAGCAATAATGTTGTTTCCACACCTTTAGCATTGAAAAGGGAGGATAGTGATAGTTATCAGAATAAATTAACAGGGGGTAAAAAAAAGCCTTTAGAATTCACTCTTTTGTTATTTAATTAAAGGGAAATGTAAAACTTAATTTTAAAAGATAATTATGTGTTAAATGAATTGCAGCACAAAATCTGCGGTTGGAAAATAAAAGTAACCTCATCTTATTTTTATATGCAAAAACATCAGTTTAACATTACGAGGAACCCGTTGCTATTTTAAATGAATCGACTCAAGCCGGTGGAAAGTGAATATTTGGGCAATTGCTATATATTTTTTAAACCAACGTTTATAAAATACATAGGAGAAAGAGGAGTTCAGCCCATCGAGCCTGTTTCATGAATTTATTAGGTCATAGCAGATCTTTAAAACCAGGATTAAAAAAAACACAAAATAAAGTCCAAAGCAAAATGAATTGAAAGACAACAAAACATATAATAATAATAATAATCCTTGCATTTGATATAGCGCTTTTCGTGGTTTGAACCTTTCTTTTTTAATCCATCTCTTCCTGTCAGAAACCATGTGAATAGTATAGGAGCTGATATGTCCCAGTTGTTATGATTATATTAGGAATTCATGACATACAGTTGTTATGATGATATTAGGAATTCATGGCATAATTGTCTTGTTTGCTGTGTGCAGTACACATTGCAGTGTTGTGCAGCACAGCAGTGTAGCACTATATCTTATGTGATCCCAGATGTTGGGTGTGATGAGGTTTGTGTTTAATTGTGTTGATTTGCTGCTTTACCCCTCACCCCCAGGGCGAGCAATCGTATTGCAAAACCTCCCTTCGATTCTGTTGGCTGCATATCGCACGATAGCGAAAGGCTGAGCATTTCTCCCAATATCAGCCGGAATCGTGGATTCCTCACAGCCTCGAGTGTTATGCAGTGATATATATATATACACACACACACACGTCAGCCTTCAGTAGCCGACACTCATTGAAGATCCTGTGTGCAATGCCCAGGATAAGGGGAGAGCAGAACCAGTCTCGGTCACACCTCGGGCTCTCCTCCTCTATTATGAAGGATCTGAACCACCACAACCACAGCCCTCGACTGACACGAGTCGCCTCTTTGGAGCATCAAAACAAAACCCGATGTCAACTTTCCAGACGTGTGGTCCACACCACATCGAGATGTCAATCACTCCCCCCCCCCACCCCCCACCCCCCCCCTCCCCCCCCCCACCCCCACAGCCTCCCGGCGATTCATTGCTTTTAAATACATTGACAACAGACCATCTGCCAATGATGTGGGGAGAGTGTGGGGGGAGAGAGAGAGGGGAGAGCCCTGGTTTGTGCACAGTGTTTAATTTCCAATGCATGTCCCCCCCCCCCTGGTCACTGCCTTACCTGGTGGCTTTCCGGATGAAGTATGAATGTGCAAAGTCTAAGTGATCATCAAGCCAAGCCTCCATAGCCTCGCACTCCCCGGGGCTGGCAGGAGCCATGGTCCTGGTGGCAGTAGCCATGGTCCTGGTGGCAGCAGCTGCTGCCTCTGCGCTTTGCTGCTCGCACTGAGCTCGGAGTCTCTGCTCTGCTCTGCTCTGGGCTGTGTGTGTGTGTGTGTGTCAGTCCCCACAGGGCTGTCACTCTCCTCTCGATCTTCCCGGGGCTGTCACTCACTCACTCACTCCCCTCTCTCTGTTCAGAGCGGCTGTGACGGTCTCCGCTGCTCCGGTGCAGACATGTGTTTGTTGTTAATGTACTCTCTCCCCCGAGTCCCAGCGCAGCGAAGAGAGACGCGGAAGAGGGCAAAGCCACCAGCGGCAGAGGACAGCCCAGCACAGCCCAGCACAGCACAGCCCAGCCCAGCACAGCCCAGCCCAGCCCAGCCCAGCCCAGCACAGCCCAACACAGCACAGCCCAACACAGCCCAGCCCAGCACAGCACAGCACAGCCCAGCCCAGCCCAGCCCAGCCCAGCCCAGCCCAGCACAGCACAGCCCAGCCCAGCACAGCCCAGCACAGCCCAGCACAGCACAGCCCAACACAGCCCAGCCCAGCACAGCACAGCACAGCCCAGCCCAGCCCAGCCAGCCCAGCCCAGCCACAGCCCAGCCCAGCCCAGCACAGCCCAACACAGCACAGCCCAACACAGCCCAGCCCAGCACAGCACAGCACAGCCCAGCCCAGCCCAGCCCAGCCCAGCCCAGCCCAGCACAGCACAGCCCAGCCCAGCACAGCCCAGCCCAGCCCAGCACAGCACAGCCCAGCACAGCACAGCCCAGCCCAGCCCAGCACAGCACAGCCCAGCCCAGCACAACCCAGCCCAGCCCAGCCCAGCCCAGCCCAGCACAGCACAGCCCAACACAGCACAGCCCAGCCCAGCCCAGCCCAGCCCAGCACAGCACAGCACAACCCAGCACAGCCCAGCACAGCACAGCACAGCCCAGCCCAGCCCAGCACAGCCCAGCCCAGCCCAGCCCAGCACAGCCCAGCACAGCCCAGCCCAGCCCAGCACAGCACAGCACAGCCCAGCCCAGCCCAGCACAGCACAGCCCAACACAGCCCAGCCCAGCCCAGCACAGCCCAGCACAGCCCAGCCCAGCACAGCACAGCACAGCCCTAACCCCAGCCCAGCACAGCCCAGCACAGCCCAGCCCAGCACAGCCCAGCCCAGCCACCAGCACAGCACAGCACAGCACAGCCCAGCACAGCCCAGCTCAGCACAGCACAACCCAGCACAGCACAGCACAACCCAGCACAGCACAGCCCAGCACAGCCCAGCACAGCCCAGCCCAGCTCAGCCCAGCCTAGCACAGCCCAGCTCAGCACAGCACAACCAAGCACAGCACAGCACAACCCAGCACAGCCCAGCACAACACAGCCCAGCACAGCACAGCTCAGCCCAGCCTAACTCAGCCCAGCACAGCACAGTCCAGCACAGCTCAGCCCAGCCTAACTCAGCCCAGCCTAGCCCAGCACAGTCCAGTCCAGCCTAGCACAGCTCAGCCCAGCACAGCACAGCCTAGCACAGCTCAGCCTAACTCAGCCCAGCCTAGCCCAGCACAGCCCAACATAGCCCAGCACAGCCCAACCTAGTCTAGCACAGCCCAACACAGCCTAGCCCAGCAAAACACAGCCTAGCCCAGGGCAGCCCAGCCTAGCCCAGCCCAGGCTAACCCAGCCCAGCCTAGCCCCAGCTCAGCCCAGCACAGCTTAGCCCAGCACAGCCAAGCCCAGCACAATCTAGCCCAGCACGGCACAGACTAGCTCAGCCTAGCCCAGCACAGCTCAGCCTAGCCTAGCCCAGCACAGCACAGCCTAGTCCAGCCTAGCCCAGTGCCACCTAGCACAGCACAGCCCAACCTAGCCAAGCACAGCCCAGCACAGCACAGTCTGGCCCAGCACAGCACAGACAGCCTAGTCCAGTACAGCCCAGCCCAGCATAGCCCAGCACAGCCCAGCACAGCTTAGCCCAGCCCAGCACAGTCCAACCTAACCCAGCACAGCACAGCCTAGCCCAGGCCACCACAGTCTAGCCCAGTCCAGCACAGCACAGCCCAGCACAGCATAGCACAGCCCAGCGCAGCCTAGCCCAGCACCGCCTCACACAGCCCAACCTAGCCCAGTACAGCCTAACCCAGCACAGCACAGCCTAGCCCAGCACAGCCTAGCCCAGCATAGCCCAGCCCAGCCTAGCCCAGCACAGCCCAGCCTAGCCTGTCCAGCCCAGTCCAGCACAGCACAGCACAGTCTAGCCTAGTCCAGCCCAGCCCAGCCTAGCCCAGTCCACCATAGCATAGCACAGTCCAGCACAGCACCGCCTAGCACAGCACAGCACAGCACAGCCTAGCTCAGCTCAGCACAGCATAGCCTAGCCCAGCACAGCCCAGCCCAGCACAGTTCAGCCTAACCCAGCCCAATCCAGCACAGCCCAGCCTAGCCTAGTCCAGCACAGCACAGCTGAGCCCAGTCCACCATAGCCTAGTGCAGTCCAGCACAGCCTAGCCCAGCCCAGCACAGCCTAGCCTAGCATAGCCCACCACAGCACAGCCCAGCCTAGCCCAGCACAGCCTAGCACAGCCTAGCCCAGCATAGCCCAGCACAGCCTAGCCCAGTCCAGCCTAGCCCAGTCCAGTCCACCACAGCCTAGCCCAGTCCAGCACAGCACAGTCTAGCCCAGGACAGCACAGCACAGCCTAGCTCAGCCCAGCACAGCCTAGCTCAGCCCGGCACAGCCTAGCCCAGCCCAGCACAGTCCAGCACAGTTTAGCCTAACCCGGCCCAGCCGAATCCAGCACAGCATAGCCCAGCGCAGCACAGCACAGCCTAGCCCAGCACAGCACAGCACAGCCCAGCCAAGCTCAGCCTAGCCCAGCACAGCAGAGCCTAGCACAGCCTAGCCCAGCACAGCCTAGCCCAGCATAGCCTAGCCCAGCACAGCCTAGCACAGCCTAGCCCAGCATTGCCCAGCACAGCCTAGCCTAGTCCAGCACATCTTAGCACAGTCCAGCACAGCAGAGCCCAGCACAGCACAGCACAGCCTAGCTCAGCCCAGCCCAGACAAGCTCAGCCTAGCCCAGCACAGCCCAGACCAGCACAGCCTAGCCCAGCACAGCAGAGCCTAGCACAGCCTAGCCCAGCACAGCCTAGCCCAGCACAGCCTAGCCCAGCACAGCCTAGCCCAGCATTGCCCAGCACAGCCTATTGCCCAGCACAGCCCAGCACAGCCCAGCCCAGCCCAGCTTAGCCCAGCACAGTCCAGCCTAGCCCAGCACAGCCCAGCCCAGTCTAGCCCAGCCTAGCACAGCCTAACCCAGCACAGCCCAGCCCAGTCTAGCCCAGCCTAGCACAGCCTAGCCCAGCCTAGCACAGCACACCTAGCCCAGCCTAGCCCAGCACAGCCCAGTCCAGCCTAACCCAGCACAGCCCAGCCCAGCACAGTCAGCTGGGTGTCTCCAAGCTTCCCTGAGACTTGTGCAGTGAACTGCTCTTACCTCAGAGCTACTGAGGAGTTTCCCTTCAAAAGCCACAAGCACTCAACGAGGAGGCAAGAAACATCTTCAAAACATGGATCGGGATTTGCCAACACTTTCGACTGGCTTTCAGCCTCACACACACAAACATATAAATACACAAAATATTTATGCAGCGTCTTTGGCTTGGTCTTTCATCATTTGCTGCAAACTGCTCACTCCCAGGATGTAAATGTACACGTGTTTTTTTTTCTAACTGATATCTCATTAGCCGTGTTAGATAATTGTCCAGAATTGTTCTTCAGGTTTGCTTTGACCAGATCTTTTATTTGATATCGTTGTTGGTTTATAAGGCAAAAAAACCAAGAGTTTCACTTGCCATGCCCCATAGTGGTCATTTTATAAAATAATGTTTTATATTTGGGAATACCTAACCATTGGTACTTGTGTGTCAAAGATTGCTTAAAAGTATTTCTGTTTGAATATTATTTACTTTGGAATCTTTGTTTGCAGTTAACTATTAACTTGAGTTATAAATATTTAAGCGCTTTGAGATGTCTAGAACACGTGAAAAGCGCTATATCAAATGCAAGGATTATTATTATTATTTCCATTTATAAAGCCAGAAGCTGCATTTATTGTAGATGTCCTGTGCCAATTCAGCTATCTTTGTAAATACATTCAACATCTCTCCCTCTCTTTTGAAATTCATTCCCATTCACGTATTTATTCCCTGCTGTTTGTAAGTAAACATAAAAATGTGAGGGAGAGGTGTTAAGCAGGGTGCCTCAGGAGTCTGCTTTGAGACTCCCTCCTGTTCTTTATAAATATTAATGATCTGAGTATGCAGACTCAAAGAGTCACGGCAGTCCGGTTCCTGAGCCAGGCAGGTCCACAGGACTCCAGAGCACTACTCATGACAAACCAGCCAGCTGGGCTGGAAGTGCCAGATCAGTCACTGGCAGCAGAGACTCTTCCCAATCAGCAGATGTTAATGCAAGCCCAAACCCTTGTGGGATAGAGTGATCCTCGCTGGAAAAGTAGCAGGAAGCATATCAGACAGTCCTCTCAATGGCAAGCTATGAGGTTTTAGCTGCTTGAACTCCAGCAGTACCCCAAAATACACTCTGGGGATCCCATGCCTTGGTTCTCATCAACTTGTGCCTAACATTCTCCAGAATTAGGCAAGCAGAGTGTTTCCCTCCAGGGAAAAGATACACATTCCAGACACAAGGAAATTTCTATGTGTGTGTGGCATGTATATGTGGAACTCTCAGTCTGGTTTGGATACTCTAAAGCTCTGATGGGTTTCTGCTTGTGTCAGACTGAGCAAAAAAGAAATGGTTAGCTCCAAGATGTCAGCAGAGGGGCAATACACAAGAGTGAAGCAAGTTTTGATGTGACAGATTGGTTTAGAAATAACTGATGAAGCATTATATATGCATATATGCATGATGAAGCAGAAATATATGACTCTGGTTATATATGTTTATAATAACAGCTGAGTTACAAAAGACTGAGGAAATGGGAATCCATCCTCCTGGACTATTGAAACACTTTTACAGTGATCAGCATTTCAAGAACAAGCCACCAAAGCTGTAACTCTGGATTATTTGTAGACTAGAGCGTAGTGAAGGAAAGTTCTGTGCTACATGACATGGTTAAAACTGGTGATTTCACTTTGGAACCAGTAGCAATTAAGAGGTTGAAGTGACCCCAGGTCTTAAGCCAATTCAATATTATAGCTATTGTAAGGTAATAATTAACCTGCTTCATGGCATTCTATTCCTACGAGTCGATTGCCAAACAATTGTGGAAAGGGCTGAGCAATAAATACAGTGTTTATTGTGTACTGACCATGATGGACCAATTGTTTTTGCAGACTGAACAA